TGAAGCTATTGCAATCAAACTGTTTGACCCCACTATGCAATCAGAAGCGTTTCGTCCAGATACTATCTCTATCATGGCCAGTCACCAAGCGAACAACCGATGCGACCGTGGTAACTGGTAGAAAGTCGTAACCAAGGAGCAGCTCAATCAAGTTGTTGATGCACGTAGCATCGTTTTGTACACGGGGTAATAAGATCTACAGCATGCAAGGTCAAACAATATTCATTGCTCTACCTACGTAAATGTAAATGGCCAGTTGATGAATTTATCGGAAAACAGCTTGTTTCGCTTATCGGATTTTATTTTCAATGTCACAATGGATTTTTTCCATTATATATATATATATACATGGAAAACATTGCGATATTGAAAATAAAAGTATATATGGTGGGGCAGCCGTTTAGTCGCTGACACTGACGTGCTTTGGACCCTATGGTTCAGGGTTCCAGCCCCGCCACCGCCACCCAACTTTGGTGGTGGACAGTTTTGCTGTCGTCCGTTTCATTACCACGCCAGAGCTTGCGGGGCCTTATGTGGTTCACTATTCCAAGTCCAGGGGCTTAGGTTACCGATTTCCATAACGGATCAGCAGGTCTTCGTGACCATGGGGTTCGCCCAGTCTGCTATTCACCACTCAATGTGTGTAATAAATATGCATTCATTGTATCGACTTGATTGGAAAAATTAATCACGCCACAGATTTTGCTCCGGTTCGGTTCGATTAACTATGCACCCATGTAACCCATTACACAGATGACCTTTGACATTTACCCATCATCATGCCCCGATTTGGTCCGACGGCATACTTTGTACTTTGTTGTTATTGTTCTCATACCGCCTATAAGCGTTCCTGGTCCCACACATTTGTGCGGCCTCTACCCTTATCGCCCTTGAACACTCTCTGTCCCACGCTTGCCATTCCCGGGCGTCATTACATACGAACCACCCCGGATCCGTTCCTCTACCCACGTTTTCGTTCCAGTACATTGTCATCCCATCCTCTTTATGTTGACCATCATATTTGGTCATTCGTTTCACTTGCTTAGAGGACTGCTTTGTTCCACAGGATCCCGTGAACCGTTTGTGTGTCTTGCATTGACCAATGACTGCGCTTCTTTATCGAGCACTTGCGATTGGTGTTTCTATCCCTTAAATCGTCCCTTTTCTAAGCCGAGTTGGCACTCCTTTTGGTGACCGCTCCGCAGGTGCTTTGTTCTGCGCCTTGACCTGCATTGTATTTCGTTCTTGTACCGTGGAGACCGGATTGGCCCACAATTTGAGTGCACGTAGATTACCGACTTCTTGTTATCTGGAATCGGAATTGGGGTTCGTATCTACGAGTCACTCAACCACTGGACGACAGTCCGGTACATACATATGTATCATCTTTTCTTCGACCATGCTCTCAGCATTCCAACTTTCACTCTGCTCTTTTATCCAACTGAGCGAACAAAAGGCAGCAACTGAAACCGACTCACGAAAATGCATGGTTAATGGTCGTAAACTGAAACTGATGCAGTAGAAAACCTATCCTTTGGGAGAATAATGTGCCTACAATCTAATCAGATAAATTTCCCAACTGACGAAATGCACAAAAAGCAGTTGAAAACAACTGAAATTAAGCTTGGTCATAAGCAATTTAGGTCCATTCGAGAACAGTCATCATAAAAAACAACTGGGTCGTGTTGCTTCCGACATGGGTCTGAAATATGATGTTCCCTGGTACATATTCAAAGGTTACACGGAAGACAAAACACAACTTACGGAACCATAAACTCCTATTATATTAGCAAAGGCAGATACGGTGAGCATGAAGCACCACCCTAAATGTGAAATGATTTTCATGTATACGTTACTCAAGCAAAGCACTAAACCTGGTTAACAGAAACATAAGTGGATGAGTTCACACACCGTGATTAGATAGAAAGTAAACAAACCTGGAGGGCCATGGAGAAGCACACCACGTGGTACGCGCAGACCCAAAGCGGCATCTGCTTGAGCATCAAAACTATCCGGTTGAACCGCATGAGTAAGACGCTTTTCAATTACACCGCGGAACAGATTCTTTAGATCATCATACCCACCAATATCGTCCCATCGAAGAGGACTGATCGGTGAGATATGCTGGGATAAATTGATTTGCAAGTAGGATAAAGATTCCAGAAGTAATATTTCACATAGATTAACTATGTGACCTGAGTTCAAAGTGGGCAACTTGATGCAATGATTTCCAGGCACTACTGTGGATTGCAACAAACGGGATAATAGAGAAGAACAACCAATTTGAACCAGTCGATGAAGATCTCTGTGTGTAAGAATGGGATGTTCAAAAAAGGACAACCAAGAACAATTATCATTTTATGTTTATTTTCAATCGCTCATAACGAATGAAGTGCAAATGACACTCGCTTAAGGTCATCTGAGAATAAATGGATTTTCCATCGTGCAGAAAATTATTATTATCGTTATTATTAGCACAATCTATCAGATGTCTGAAAGTTAGCTCTGAGAACGTACAGATACTATGAAATATTATGAGTATGCCAGTACTAATTAAGCGCTCGCCTATCTACATCAAATGTTATCAAAATAACTCGTTTTTCATACACCACTTATTTTGAAAGTGCACGACAGCCAATATATAGCTAAACTAACAGTAGTAATTACTGAAAGTCTCATCACCTGAAAGTGAATCAAGTGTATTTTTAACTTAGTTTAGCAACGCGTGACGTACAACTCTACTATAAAGAACGCGAACCACTCAAGATATTAACGAGGGTATAGAACGTACAAAAACATCATCCGAAAACATTCAAGCACCCGATAGTGGGGTGATCATTAACTAAGAAAAAGTAATAGCTCACTTGGGCGTATATCCATGCAGCTTTGAAGCAACACCAACTAGGCAATCCTTGACTTCAGGTGTATCCAAAATGAGATTCATGCTTCGATCATCGTCGCCCTCTTGATATGAACTTGGAAACATAACTGCCAATCGTGAAAAGATGAAATGACGCAATATCAAATAGCGTGTGTGTGCATCCGGAAGGGTCACAAGCACGCGACGATGGAACAACTGCCTACATTCCGCGAGATCAAATAGGTCATCCATAGTTATTGCCGTTGCTACAACTCCAAACCTCTGAGGCCTCATAGCTCGGTCATGATGTTTATTCAGCATGTTTACAGCATCCAACAACTGGCGGAAAGCTGTACTAATAGGACTGGAAATGCTTTTTGAACCATATGCATCCTCTGATTGAGTCGCTTCGTCATCTGCAATGGATGCACCTCCAATGGCCCAAGAATCTAAATTGGGCAGTAACAAAACTACCGGTACGGCATGAAAGGTAGTTGTTGTTTCCGTTGTTAGCTTATTTTCAATCCAAGAATAAAAAGGATTTTCGGAGTTCGATTTCTTTCTCGTAAATAGTTCACTGACCAGAGAATGTGGAATCGTCAAGAATATCATATTGTCTCGCCCAAGCTGAAAGAGAATAGGAACAGAAGATGATACAATGTAACACAGAGAGAAAAATGAATGAATGAACGAAGGGAGGAACTTACATGATGTTCATCAATAGCCAAATCGTAGTTGCTCAAAGCGCGCAAAAGTGAGCGTTTTCCACAACCAGACAGACCGTATAATAGTATGCCGTGCTGTACTTCATTGTCACACGGACTGTCCACATAGAGACAACTTAGAATGAAATCACGAAGGTAACCTGTTACTGCGGTTTTGGCACAATTCAGGCCAAATAAATGGTCTTCAGTTACTGCCTTCGGCGAAGTGGACTTGGTAAGTGAGTGACTGGATGTGAAAGTCTGAACGAGGGAAATGCGAACACGAGTTGAGGGGCCCACCTGTGAGAAACAGAAGATAAAACGACTGTGCGCCAAACAAATCTTGGTACAAAAATCCTATATAAAAAGAATCAGTCTATGAATAAAGTACAACTAAGTAATGTCCCTTCCGTTTGACTTGTGCCTCGATAATTCGGGAATCATAATTAAAAGTTAATGGGTATCATCATGAGTTCAGGGGAGAAAGTTTAATTTCGCATTATCCATCGAACCTGATCCAAAGTAATAATTTAATTTTGCTAACTGTTTACTGAATTGTTGAATGAGTCATTTTTTTATCACGAGCTAGAAGACGTGCACCGGATAGGCATTGAAGTAATAGTATAGTTCTCAAAGAAAACCGTTAATGATCACACCAAAGTGTAATTACTGTGGTTGTTACCCCCAAGTTTGCTCACCCAATTTCTACTAAATGAATACAACTCGACATCGTGTTCTATTTTCGCTAGTATTCCGCAATCAAAAGGCAAATAAAGCGTGCTAATTTGGCTCCAGATTATTGTTCTCGCTGTCATACAGTTGAAAACTTACGCGAAAGCCTTCTCCTCACATTTCTTTAATAATAGCATAGCCAAATAGAACAACAAGCAGTATTGCCTAGACTACTGCAACCTTCGGAAATGTACGGTCTTTAAGACGCATATAAACGACCTTAGTTAATTACATTCAGTCCTCTAGATTAAACTGACCTCGTTTTCCATGGTCAGCGAATCAGGCAACCGTAGTTCTACCAAAGTCAGAACCACGTAAGGCTTCAATTATGATATCATTTTATCACACATTCTCACAAATGATAGTAAAAACATTTTATGACAAAGAAATCAGTTCACAATCTGTAAATCATGCAGATTCTCAAGGTTGATGAAGTGCCGTTGGAAAGAATTCGCAGCAGTCAGCTAATTCATAGAACGGTAGAAAACGGGGAACTAAGTCTAGTTGTCTATACAATCGTGGATTGTAAGTTTTTGGGACAAGAGCCGATTTACACGGTGATTTTTCTAAGGTTTATTAAAAACACCATTTTGACAGAAGCCACGCCTGTTCCTTGAAACTTTGACAATCAAGCAAGATGTCGAAAATGTACGTCATGACTGCTGTGGCGACAAGTACCATGGAGTACAACGCACTATCTTCTTCCGACAAAATCGCAGTGCTTACTGCGGCGCATCCCACCTTATTCATAAACGGGAAACGAACTATGCTCGATCATCAGGATAGAGGAGAAAGTGGAATCTCGAATATAACCAGATATTTTCTTCCGGTTGCAGTTCCAGCAGTCGCACAACTATATACCGCCTCCGAAAACCTCGCTACTGTTAGGATGGGTGTCATTGGTTTTAGCTGGTCACTCTTTCCTTGCTTTCACAAGACCAATCGCCTCAAATAACCTCTACTCAGGAGGCTTGACCCACTGCCTTCTCGTGGCGGTATTTTACCACACAAGCGAAAGGACAAAAAGCCGACACCCGGGGTTATAAACTGATCGGTGAACCACTGGCAGTCCATCTATGGGAGATGACTACAAACCCTGTTTCCAAACCAACCAAGAAGAGGTGTACGAACCACAGCCACCCACAATTTTTGGTTGCGGCATCAGTCACCGAATCGATTGAGCATCGAGGTAAATTGGACACATTGGACTTTTGGATCCGTCCAAAGGGCGTACGATCGGACGAACTGGACACCAGCCCCCAATGTATGGCAGTTTTTACACACCGCCCCGCTGCCTTGCGGGTCAGGCTTTGGCTAGCCGAAGGCTCCTATTGTGAATTCCCCAACAAAATTTAAGTGTCAATGCCTGGGTTAGCTGGCAGTATCGCACCCGCAAGCAAACCATGGACCCTTTCTTTTTTATAATGATTATTATGCTGTGGTTTTCACACCAGTCTGGACACAGACTGATGTGAATATGCATATGCATAATCTATGATGTATATATGTACATATACATATATGGAAGGGGTTCAACTGATAGCGACGGCCTCATCCAATAGCGAGCTAGTTTCAGACGTCACGCTGTTTTCTAAGGATATTTGTGGCTTTTGCTATGCAGATAAAAATCCTCTACATTTGTAAGCGAAAACTTTTTTATAGGCCAGCTCAAATATTCAGACCAGCCGGAAAGAGTTCCGTATAGGGGTATTTCAAAAGCTTTCGTGTACAAAAGGAGTTGGCTATGCGACTCACTTTTAATGCGCAGACACACGGTTGCCTTTTTAAACAACAAACTCCTTTTGACATCAAACGACTGGACTCTGGGTTTATGGATGGTGAAGGATACTCCCTTTTTATGGCACTGTGGAGAAAAACAAACAACTTGGGTATCAGGTGTGCATCACAAACGCAAAAAGTAGTTACCTGTATAAAATCCTCAAACGAATATTCTTAAGACAGTAGTAAACCTACCTTGTACATTCCTGAAAATCCGGTTCGTTAAGAGTGCTTTCGTACGAATTACCGCTGCAGTCTTCAGCCCATACGTATCGGACAGACCTCTTCGAACCCAATATGTCGAAATTTTCAATGGACCCCAGAATAATATGTGCCCCTTCTGTGAAATCCAAGCAATAATACAGAATCCGTTTCCACTTACGGAGTTTGTACAAAAGACTATTTTCCATTAAAGTTACACAATGGGAATCACTCGATAGATTATCTGTTCTGAAAAAGCTGAACCGATAAAAGAGCAGGGTCCCACCTTATTTTCACCATCAGGGATTTCAAAGCTATTAGTTTCAGAGGACGTTGTATTTCAATTTTAAATCCGGAAACACCATTCAAACCCAAGCGATATGCTGCAGCAGTCGTGAACTCGACAGTATCGTTTTCCGAAATCCCCAGAGTGCACACATATTTGCTCTCCACTACAACAGGCTCAAAGCAGAAAAGCGAATTCTCTCGCAAGAAATCAGATGGTAATAAAAGCTCGGCACACATGCGGTAGCGCTATGTTCATAAAGATGCAGGTGTCAAGGTCAGTTCAGTTCAGTTCAGGTCAGGTCAGGTCAGGTCAGGTTGCACAGGACTGGTAGTGGCCACGGGCCAATCGAGCGTCCAGAATTCCTTCGGTG